CACCAACACTTGTTGTTTCTTGTGTTGTTGATTTTTAGGCATTCAGACAGGTGTGAGTTGATACCTCATTGCAGTTTTGATTTGCATTTCCCTGATGATCAGTGATGTTGAGCATTTTTTCATTGTCTCTTGGCCATTTATATGTTGTCTTTGGAGAAATGTTCATGTCCTCTGCCCATTTTTAATTGGATTATTTGTTTTTTGAGTGTTGAGTTTTATAAGTTGTTTATGTGTTTGGATGCTCTTTATCAGATATGTCACTAACTAGTGTGAGAAGAATAAATGTTAACTCTTCTTTAAATGTCCCTGTGAAGCCATCTGGTTCTGGACTTTTGTTTGTTGGGAGTTTTTAAATTATTAATATTGATCTGTTTATTGATAGTATTGATAGTTTTTGTAATTTATGGGTTTCTGGGAATTTATCCATTTCTTTTACGTTGAAAGAAATGGATAACAACAAACGTCAGTTTGTTGGCATATAGTTTTTCATAATATTCTTTTATAATTGTATTTCTGTAGTGTTTGTCGTTTTTCCTCTCCCATTTGTGATTTTACTTATTTGGTTCCTTTCTCTTTTCTTTTTGATAAGTCTGGCTAGAGAGTTATCAATTTTATTGTTTGAAAGAACCAGCTCCTGGTTTCGATTTGTTCTATTGTCTTTTTAATTTCTACATCATTTATTTCTGCTCTAATCTTTATTACTTCTTCTGCTCGCTTTAAGCTTCATTTGTTCTTTTTTTAGCTCCTTTAGGTGTAATATTATGTTATTTGAGATTTTTCTTGCTTTTTGAGGTAGGCCTGTATTGCTATAAACTTCCCTCTTAGAACTGCTTTTGTTACACACTATTTTAAACCATTGTGTTTTCATTTTCATTTGTTTTTGTGTGCTTTTTAATTTCTTATTTCCTGATTGATTCCATTCGTTGTTTAGTGGCATGTTATTTAACCCCCATGTATTTGTGACGTTTCCAGATTTTTTCTTGTAGCTGGCTTTTAGTACCATAGCATTGGATTATTTTCGAATAGTCTTTTTTAATTCGTTGAGGCTTGCGTTGTGGCCTTGATATGTGATCTTTTCTGAAGAATGTCTGTGTGTACTTGAAAAGAATATGTATTCTGTGTTTTAGGATGGAATGGTCTGGATATATCCATTAAATCCATCTGTTCCAGTGTGTCTTTGAAGGCCATTGTTCCCTTGTTGATTTTCTGTTTAAACTATCTATTGATATAAGTAAGGTGTTAAAGTCCCCTGCTATTAGTGTATTATTATGAATTAGTTCCTTTATGTTTGTTATCAACTGTTTTATGTATTTGGGTGCTCCCATGTTGGTTGCATAAGTATGTATAATTGTTATTTCTTGTTAGATTCTATTATTACTATTTTTAGTATTATTTACTATTTACTATTATTACTATTTACTGTCCCTATTATTACTATTATTATTATTATTACTATTACTACTATTTACTGTCTTTGTCTCTTGTTATAGTTTTTATTTATTTTTACAGTGCTTGTTTTAGTTTGTCTGATATAAGTATTAATATTCCAGCTTTCTTTTGACATCCATTTGCATAAATGTTTCTCCATCCCTTCACTTCAATCTGTGCGTATCTTTAAGTCTAAAATGAATCTCTTGTATAGATGTATAGATGGGTCTTGTTTTTCTTATCCATATTGTCGCCCTATATCTTTTGAGTGGAGTGTTTAGTACATTTAAATTCAAAATGATTATTTCTAGATACGTATTTTATTGCTTGTTTTCTGATTGTTTCTGAAGACTTTCACTGATCCTTGTCTTTCATGGTTTGCTGGTTTTCTTTAGTGATGTATTTAGATTTCTTTCTCTTTATTGTTTGCATATTTATTATTGGATTTTGATTTGTGGTTACCATTAGGTTTGTATTTATATATAACATTTTCTGCATATAGCCATCCATATTAAGTTGATGGTTGTTTAAATTTAAACTTATTCTTTACCCCTCGCTTCCCCACATTTTAGGTATACGGTGTCATGTATTACATCTTTTTATTTTGTGAGTACCTTGACTGATATTTTACAGAAATACTCGTTTTTACTGCTCTTGTGTTTTCTACCTTCATATTGTCATTTTTGGTCTTTCCTTTCCACTCAGAGTCCCCATTAATATTTCTTGCAGGGTTGATTTAATGGTCACAGACTCCATTAGTTTTTGTTCATCTGAGAAACTCTTTCTCTCCTTCTATTCTGAGTGATAGCCTTGCTGGATAGAGTATTCTTGGCTGCAGATTTTTCCCATTCAGCACTTTGAATGTATCATGCTACTTTTTTCTGGCTTGCAAGTTTCTGCTGAAAAATCCCTTGATAGCCTTATAGGGGTTTCCCTTATATGTAACTGTCTTCTTTCATCTTGCTGCTTTAAAATTTTTTTTATCACTGTGTTTTGCCATTTTAATACAATATATGCTGGTGTGGATCTTCTTTTGTTGATTTTGTTGGGGATTTCCCATGCTTCCTGGATATCAGTTTTCTTCCTCTAATTAGGGAACTTTTCAGTTATTATCTCTGCAAATAAATTTTCTTTATTTGCTCTCTTTTCTTTCTCTTTTTGTAGGACACCTGTAATGCAAATGTTACAATGTTTTATGGAGTCACTGAGTTCCCTAAGTCTGTTTTCATTTTGGATAATTCATTTTTCTGTTTTGTTCATCTTGATTACATTCCATTACTCTATCCTCTAGGTCATTAATTCATCCCTTTGCTTCCACCCTGCTATTTATTGTATCAGGCATGTTTCTCATTTCATTTATTGAGCCCTTTATTTCTGCTATGTTGTTATGTCTGTGTTAAGGGTCTCATTCATGTCTTCCACTCTTTTCTCAAGCCTGATGAGTATCTTTGTGATCATTACTTTAAATTCTGTATCAGGCATGTTATTTTTGTTTCACTTAGATCTCTGTCCATGGCCTTTTTCTATTCTGTCATTTGGGACAGATTCCTCTTGTCTTCCCATTTTGTGTAAGTCTCTACACCTGTTTCTCTGTGTTAGGAAAGGCAGCTACATCTCTTCTTGAGGATAATGGCTTTATGAAGAAGAGGTCCTGTAGTGCCCTGAAGTGTAGTGTCCCCTCTTACCCTGCCACTTCAAGGAGTATCTCTAATGTGTACAGCATGTGGTCTGTTGTTGTGTCTTGGCCACTTTATCCTTCAGGCCAGTTGTCTACAGAGGCTTTCTTTGCCTCTTGTGGGCAGTGTTTGGTGTCTGGCCTCAATGTGCTGCATTTTAGATAGTTGTGCACTGGTCTGCCCATGAAATGAGACCTTTCATCACTGCCACTGGAACCAAGGCCCTGCAGAACTCCCAGGTACACTTCAAGTCACTGGTGCCACACATTGTATTTCCCCCGGCTGTTTGCCCTACCTTCTCTCCAAGAGTGGCCCCAGTGCCTCAAGGCTCTATCTGAACGAAACCCACTGCCTCTAGACCTCCAGGCTTTAAGCTCTACTGACTGCAAGAACTCACGAAATTCAGCCCCTCTCACTTTCCAAGCCAATCACTGTGGGGATTTGTTTTCTCTGTTGCTCCATGTATGTTAGTCTGTCTCTTGCTCTTCTCTGCAACAACAGCTCCAGGAGTCATTTCTCTCTCAAACTGTATATCTGCACTTCCTACCTTCCTTGATGTGGCCTCTTCTCCACCTTTAGTTGGAGTTTGTTCTGCTAGTCTTTGGGTCAATTTCTGGGGTATATAGGTTGATTTGATAGTTATCTGGTATGAAGTCAGCCTAGGGTCTTTCTACTTCTGGAAATAATCTAGATATCTAATGAATTTAACTTAATTCATCATTTAACCTAACTCAGCAAAACTTTAAGGTTTTAGGTAACCAAAAAGAAATTGAGAAAACTATTAAGTAGACATAAATATTGTTGAAAGTTTATTTATGAACTTTTATTTATCTATTTAGCTTACTTGTCTTTAATAACTATGTTTAGATGACCTATAAAAACTAAATTAAACATTAGATGAAGTCAGCCATTATCCTAAGGTATTAATTTTTGTTGACAGATCTTAAAAAGGACAACATGAACTTATTTGAAGGCTAGTAAACTGAACTAGAATAACAGTTACATATTTAGTGTTGGTAACTCTAAAGACATGTCTGTTTTAATTAAGCCATCAACCTTAAACTAGCATTTATATTGAATATTTTTTCAAACCATGTGAACTTGAAAAGTGGGTTAGTTTCTTTCTTTTTGAGAATTGCAGAATGCTTAATCCTTACAAGTGCCTGCCTTCAAACCAACTAAATAGAGCTTTTACAAATTAATTTTAGCAGAACCCCCCAGAAGTAGAAAATACCACAGAGCTACACCACGTAAATATAGATAGACATGAACATACAGACAGAGAGAGCCTTTATAGCTTCAGGTTTTAAATTACTGCCAGGAAATAGGTTAGGTACAGGATTTATGGTAATAATGATAAAAGTTAAATATCTGTTATTTTTCTGGTAGATGGAATAATGCTATCAGTCTAGATGATTAAAGCTTTGTTTAGTATTTGTGAAGACACTTAAGATTTGAATTTCTTCTTGGCAAGTCAAGTTCTAAATGACCTCTCCCCCTTGTGTTTTTTCTTGATAAGAATTACCACTCTGAAATTTGTATTTTAAAGGGATAGACTAGAAAGGATTTCCTAGAGAAGACCAGTAGAATATTGAATATTTACATCTTAAAGCCACAGGGAAAGAACACAAGTTTCTCCTAGAAGGACTCTTACTCCCTTAAAGTCAGAATTTTTATACTTATAAGTCTTTTGAGATAGGGGAGTTTGTTAGTCTGGCTTTGGATGTATTTTTATGTGTGCTTGATATTGACTTCACATTATAGTAGTATTAGAATCTTCTAATCTGTAGGGACTAAAACAAAATACCTTTCTAACCAAAAATGACTATTCCTTCTAAACTTGATTTTCTTGAAATAGTAGACTTTGTGTGATATGCTGTGATCTCTGCATTTTAGGTACTATGCCGTGATGGTAACGATGTTCTTCACTGTCAGCGTGGTGAACAACTATGCCCTGAATCTCAACATTGCCATGCCCCTGCATATGATATTTAGATCTGTAAGTGCTGCTGGCTCACATGCATATGTTCCATCTAGGAAATGAAGCTAAGTGGGTAGATTGAATACTTGACAAAAGTAGAAAGAAAATAAAGTGTGAGTAAAGGTTGGCTTTCATCTGCGCAGTAATGAGGAAAGTGGACAGTTGACTTTTATCCCTCTGAGGTCTTATGGGTGATCAATAAAAGCTGAAATTTCCCTGGGAAACAGATTTTACATTTAATTTCCTTCATCTGATTGATTTTATAGTCAGGCTTGCTATGAATGTTATTTAACTTATTTCTCATTACTTTTGGTTTCTATCCTAAAATTACACTTACTTCTAGTACATAAAATAAACACTTCCCTTTTCTGATGCCTTTTTTTTTTTTTTTTTTAAAGCAAGAGACTTTTAAGATGAGGGGAAATTCTTTTAAGGTTTATTTATTTTAGAGAGGGTTGGGTGCCTGCACTCACGTGCTGCAAGGGGCAGAGGGAGAGACTCTCAAGGAGACTCCCCACTGAGCATAGAGCCTGATGTAGGGCTTAATCTCACCACCCTGAGATCATGACCTGAGCCAAAACCAAGAGTCGGATGCTTAACCAACTGAGTCACCCAGGTGCCCTAAATAAAGGGAAATTCTTGAAGGTAAGGTTTGTCCCAGAGCAGCAGAGGTTTCTTCTTCCTCTCACGTTTGGTGGCAGATCTGCAAATAGTTTGTGTATAAATAAATAAGAACAGAGCACTCTGTGAAGAGCAGGAAAAACTTCAAGGGGAATGTAGTTAGGATTGCAGAAGAATGCAAATTGGTGACCATTGGAATTACAACATTTCTGTGTAGTTTGAGATTTCTGTGAGACTAAAGGTGCTATCCCCAAAGGAACTTTTCAGAGCTAATTATAATTACAAAAATGACTTTCAAAGTACCAAGCACATAATAGACTTTCAATAAACTCTTGCTGATTGAGCGACACCTTTCCAGAGAAGAGAAAGATCCCTGCGTGCCTTCTTTTATTAATTAAAACCAGGGATGAGGAAAAGCTTAATGAAAAAAAGGCTTAGTAAAAGCTCTTGTAAATTTGATGGAAAATTAAAATTAAATCTACAGTATAATTTGTTTCTGCTAGCCTTAATTTCAGTTCTGACCAATATTTAGAGAATTGACCATTTTTATTCTCGTTATCTTCAGAAGGTTTATTTTACATAACATTTGTATGGTTTATGCTTTTTGCCATTATAAGAATAAGTGAAGCTTACTAATTATTCATCCTAACCTCCTTTCTGGCTCTTTTTCTTGCTTGTGCATGTTCCTATTTATCTTGAATTATTTTCTTTCTCTGGTGCACTAAACCTCTATTACTGTTGTCTCCTTTTACAGGGTTCTCTAATTGCCAACATGATCCTAGGAATTATCATTTTGAAGAAGAGGTAAACAGTACACTTTCAAATTTTATGTACAAGAAGGATATCCAGAGCCCTGTCCATTAGCTGGATTCCTTTTCTCGTAGAGGTGATAAGTTTGCTTGTGATCATCTAGCTTGTTTCTTAGTGTTCTCTGTGGCAGTGCTGTGTATCTTGAGGCAGTGGGCCAGGTAAGGAGCCCCACCTGTGGCTTTGGAGCAGCATTTTCTCTGTAGAACTAAATAGCTCTTGTCATCATGAATCTTTAATACTGTAGTAACCTATGAAGCCAGTTGATCTAGAACTTCACTCTCCCATATGGTCTCCACTAGCTACATGAGATTATTTACACTTAAATTTAAGTTATTTCAAATAATTAGTTTCTCACATTTTAAGTGCTTAGTAGTGACATGTGGCTAGTGGCGACCATGTTGGAGAACCCAGATACAGAACGTTTTCAGCTTCACGGAAGTTCTTGGACAGTGCTGTCCTAGAAGGAGTTTATCAGCACAATGTGATGAACTAATGATAATCATCCATATTAGGAAGAAAATTCCTAATGAAGACCCAAATGGCCAACGAGATGGAACAAGAAGTTTTCAGGACTGTTCCATGTGGCCGTCACCAGTGGAGGTCTCTAGGATATGGTTGGGAAATACCAGAAGTATCTGGGATACTTTCTCAAAGTATGGATCTTCCACCTTCTTTCTGAGCCTTACCCCTTACTCCCAGGGAGGAGAGGTACTGGGGAGAGTCAGCACATTGTCTGGAACACTTCACAGGGAAAGTTCACCCTCAATGTTAAGATCACAACTGCACAAGCTCACGCCAGCTTTTCTGTGTATTCAGTATCTAGCCCCAGTATTGGAACTCTAGACCAACTTAAAAAGTGCTGTCAATTAAGAGTGTGGGAACCTAGAGTTTTTAAGTAATAAGAGCTGTGTCATAAGAAGGACAGTTGTCCCTCCTGCTTAGGCTCATGAACCCATTATCTTCTGAGGCTTATGCATTCACCAAATGAGTACAACTGCATTCGGGTTTGTCACGTTGAAGTGACTGCTACATTTCTTGGTGGTATAGAATTCATGTTGGGACAGACCTGCTGTCCTTCCAACCTTAATTTTGTGCATAATAGGGATACAAAGGATCATATTATGAAAGGAATGTATTCTCCTGATAGTGCTCTGAAATGTCAGGGGCCTTTGTTAAACATCCATTTCCCTGAAGAACTTGTTTTGGGTCTGACCCCTTGAGTCTACCCACGTAAGCCTGTGTGACTCTCCTTAGTGCGTATCACCCAGAGAGCAGGGATTTCCCTAAGGTAACTATGTAATATGAATTAGTAAGTTGCTGTCTCCTTTTGCGTATCTTGAGTAGAGCCCCTTTGGTCCATAGTGGGTTCCTCATTCCAGGATTTGAAGACCAACTTTTTACTTACCTTAGCCTGCCCTTCGTTAATTCTTAGGCCTGAATCATTTCCTGCCTTGCCCCTCTCTCCTCTGGTGTCCTGCTCTTGGCCCCAGATCTGCCGCTAGCCAGTTCTGTTGGCCCCTTATGAGGTGATGTGACCAGAACTGTACAAAGTACTTGACAGGAAATCTCGGGAGGTTCATCCTATCCATTTAATTCCTTTTCATTCTTGCCCGAGGCCTTTCACTTTTATCAGTAAGGGCACAGGAGGGATGTTAATGCGGTTGTTTTAGTTCATATGAAACACCACTGTTCTTACCGCCAGCAGTCCTTTTAGTGTAATATTTCTCCCTTTATCCAACTTATGTGCCAGCATTTAAAAACAACATCGATGTCATTCAGAGATGTTACAAAAAAAAAAAATCCTCTCTTGAAAATGGACAGTTGAATGATTTCTTGAGCATTGAATCCTGCTCCGAGCATTGAATCCTGCTCCTTGTTCCTGATGCTCCATTCTTCCTCTTGCGTGGCGTGTCTCTGACGCTCAGGTTTGGGGCCTTAAAGAGGAAGAGCAACAGGTGCCAGTGAAGACCTGTCTGGCTTTCACTGGAACTCTTGAGCAGAATGGAATGTCATGTCTACTCTATGTCTTTTTTTGTTATTTTCTGGTGAAACAATCTGTCGGTCCACAGACTATTTAGGCAACACTGAGAAGGGGTGTTCAGTCCTCAGTCAGCATCCTGATTCTTTCACACACACATGTGCTTGATTCCATTGGCTATATTGTGGGGATTTGTACTCTTACCCAACATCTAACTGTGAATGTCATGTGGAAATTCGTATCTGTGCATTTGTTTTCCTAAGGTGGTCTGTTCTTGTTTTTGCAGATACAGCATATTCAAATATACCTCTATTGCCCTGGTGTCTGTGGGGATATTTATTTGCACTTTCATGTCAGCCAAGCAGGTGGTAAGAATCACTTCACAAATCCTTTATGTTCACTGCTTGCCGTGGGGGCCCCAGTACTTTTTATTGATGCAATACATGCACATGCTTATGCAATAGAAGGATTCGGGTCTCTGCAAGAGAAAAGTGGAGGTCAGTGGGTAACACAGAGGGTTCCTTTGTACCCAAGCACCTTGTGTGAAGTTTTGGCCTCAGTACCTGGTGTTTTTTCTTATTTCCTAGACTTCCGAGTCCAGCTCAAGTGAGAATGATGGATTCCAGGCATTTCTAAGGTGGCTACTAGGCAAGTACAGTAATTACACTAAAGCTAATAGCTTCTGCAGTCCTGTTTGCTGAGTTTTCTCCTGAGGGACAAGTTTCTTGGCAAGAAGCGTTGGCTCAACAGATTATGCCACCGAAGAGAGAGGCACCTGGGATCATCTAGCTTTGAACTTTGGTGTTGAACATGAAAAGAAGACAATGTCCATGTTTGGGGTAGTGTGTATGACAACACGGGGCCACGGTTTCCTTGGCTGCCATTGGTCTAGAAGGAAACGTACATGTCCGCTTGCCCGTCACTCTCCCTGGGAACGAGAGTTTCGAGTGTCATCCATTTCTTCATGATCTGTCTGCTGAGGTGCAGCAGTAAATTTCCAGGGGACTCATTTCTAAGTCTTAGATTCATTTTCTTTATAAGCTAGCTGTTCCATAATGAGTGTTCCCAAACCCGCCTAATCATCAGGATCTCCTAGGGAATTTTTAAAAATAAGAGTATCTCTTTGTGGAATTAATTAGACAACTCCTATAGAGCTTTGACCTCATGTTGTAGGATATCCATATCCTACAACATGAGGTCAAAGCTCAAAGCTCTATAGGAGTGGAACTCTTTCCAAGTGTAGTTGGTGGCAGCAGTACCAGATTAAGATGAAGCGGATGAGAAATAGTACAAAAACTCCATTCTCCCTGTTGCTTGGCTTGGAAACTATCCCTTTAGGTTACTCTTCTTCTTTTTCTTCTTTTTTTTTAAGATTGTATTTATTTATTCATATTGGGGGGTGTGGTGCGCAGAAGGAGAAGGAGAGGGAGAAGCAGGCTCCCCACAGAGCAGGGCGCTAAACACAGGGCTTGATCCCAGGACCCAGGATCACGACCTGAGCCGAAGGCAGAAGCTTACCTGACTATGCCACCCAGGCGCTCCTAGGTTGCTCTTCTTAACATAGATATGTATGAGCTGTTAGAAAACACTCTATCCAATAAGAAAAATTTGCAGAGGATATGAACATACAACTCACAGGGAAAAATTAATGTCTGATCATTGTACGTTCAAACTCAGTAGTCTTAGAATCTGAGAAATGCAAATTGAAACTAAAATGCAGTACCTTTTTATTTTCGGTCCGTTTTTTAAGGCAAGAGTAAATGATTATTTTCATTGCTGAGGGTGCAGGAAGACAACCATTTTTGTATGAATTGTTTATGGTAGAAATTGACACAGCCTTTCTGGAAAAATTTATGTTTTGGGTTTTAAAAATGTCTGTACCTTTTGACTCGGTAATTCATTTAGCAAAGTTTATCCTAAGGAAATCATCAACATTTTGTTTAAAGATTTATGTCCAAGGATGTACATTGATTTTAATGGCGAAATAATTGGAAGTAATCTAATTCTCATGTTGTAAGACATTTAATATGGTCCCTCCACGTGATAGAGTCATGGAGCCATTAATTCATACCTTTGAAAAAATTTTAATGAATGACTTGAAGGAAAATCCAAGAAAAAGATTGTGAAGAAAGCAAGAGATACAACTGTGTATTCATTATGATCCTATTTTAGCGTAAAAAATACATACATACATGTATATATATATATAGAGAGAGAGCAAACTATTATGGACTGGGTAGTTAGTATACTGTGGTTGAACTTCATTTCTTTTAAAAATGTTGTGTATGTTCTACAACTATCTTGTAATATATGTAGAACAGTCAGTGTTCTTTAGGAAAACATCTGGAAGTGAGCAAATCTAGTATCTTGTAGCCTAATTTCTGTTTTTTTTTTAGGGATTGGGGCACTGACTTTTGCACTTCTGATGTCAGCAAGGATGGGTATTTTCCAAGAGACCCTATACAAACAATTTGGGAAGCACTCCAAGGAGGCTTTGTTTTATAACGTAAGCAATTTCTTAAACCTGGGGAAGATAGAAAGTACCGAGTTGTAGTGTGTTATTTCAAATGAAATATGCATTTTTCTGATGTAGTTAAAGGACCAAGTATTTTTAATAGGCTACTACTTGTATTCTGAGCCACGATTCTCTACGTGAGATGATCATGATCAGTCAGCATGAAGCTAGCATGTCTGCTAACCAGGAACAATCCCTGGGAATGAGGACCTTTACCCCCAGTGTTCCTGTAGGTAAAGTCAAGTTAAAACTACCATGGGAACTTAGAATAAGAAAATAAGTTCCAAAAACAACATGCTGAGGGGGATGCTGGCAGGCTGGCAGGCAGGCAGGGAGAGGGGAAGGAGGGTGAGAGAAGTCTCTCCGGGGAGCGCTGTATATGATGGAGAGTTTCATTAGCTAATGCTGTGCACTTCCACCTCTTTTTTGGAAGCTGCTGAGCTGGAGCCACCTCCTCTAACTCCTCCTCCTCCAACCTCTCTCCTATGGGGAGAACGTCCAACCTAGGAGCACTAAAGTTGCAGAAAATCAGTTTGAGATATTTAATTGGAGCTGGAGTATGTGGCTGGGCATTAAAAAAAATAAGGAACAGTCTATGTGGTTCACATCTTTCTTTTAGGACAGTACCTGGCACAAAATGGCTGCCCCATACTGTTAGCTATGATTCCAAACAGTGGTGGTGCCAGGTTGTTGTCACGCCCGTTTACCTGTGCTTCTGTGTTGTTTCCCCTTCATCCTCTTTTGATTCTTATCTTCATTTTCCCTGACCTCATATTGTCCTCAAATCTCATTTTTCCACAAGTTACCTGAATGCCCTGAGATCTGCCTTTGCTTTCTTCATAAATTGTATTTATTTTAAAATTTTTTCCAAGAATAGAAGTGTTTCTACTTTTTTTAAAATTTAAATTCAGTTAGCCAACATATAGTACATTGTTAGTTTCAGATGTAGATTTCAATAATTCATCAGTTGCCTATAATTTTTAAGTCCTTATATTTGCTATTTTCAAAAGGAGCAAAACGTAGGAAATCCTGTGGGCCAAATGACTAAGTTTAAATTTCCCTCTTGTCGGAAGGATGCTGGTTCCTTTTATTTGTTTAGTGTGTGATGATCATCTGACTCCACTTCTGAAGGGCAAAAACTGTGGCATGTGGCCGATGGCACACTGAAAAAGCCATGTGGTCCAGAGCACCGTATACATTTAACCTAATGAGTCTAAATTGCTTTTCTTGATACTGCTTGTCAAACAACTTATGAAACTGTAAGTCATTGTAAAGCCACTCTACATATTCTGTGAAGTAAGTGTCTGTATTTAAATTTACATGGAGCTTTGCACAGTGGCAGTATCGTAGCCAATGAGGTTTATCCGAGCCGCAATTATTGCTAATTAAATTTACAGGAATCTTTTTTCTCGTAGCATGCCCTTCCACTTCCTGGCTTCATCTTCCTGGCTTCTGATATTTATGACCATGCAGTTCTATTCAATAAGTCAGGTGAGTGTGGGGTCATCCAGTAGAATTACCTGACAGATTCTGAGGCCAACTCTCAGCATTGCTATTGACTTGACCACCACTTTTTTCATGATCTTACCCAAATCCCTGCCCTGTTGGAAGCCATCCTCAATCCACCTCCCAGAAAGATAGTGCTGTTAGTCAGCAGTTGCAGCCACGAAAGCTCTATACAGGTGCTTTCTCAGTTATTTGCAAGTGATGTCAAAGTATCTTCAGATTTTGTCTTCTGCTTTGGAATTTGTTTTTGCATTTGCATGTGGAATGTTTGATGTTTTGAGAATGCAAAAAAAAAAAAAAATAGCAGTAACACTCTGCAGAGATGGGACCGTGAGAAACTGGGCAGCAGTCCAGCTCTTTCTGCTGCCGCTATACCTCTTGTGCTGGTGAAGACAGACCTGCTCGCACACCCAAGTCCTAGCTCCCTTGGAGCAAAGGGAAACAAAAACACGAGGGGGCTTTTTTCCGAGGTACAGGATAAGTAGGCAGCAGGAATAAGCAAAATTTGCTTAGATGTCTACAGGGTAAGTTAGCTCTTGTTATAAAGTGGCTTTTTAATAAACTAGCTATAAATTGCCAATTAACTGGAAAGGAATTACTTATGTGATTATCTACTAAAAGACATACAGTTTATATAGACAGAGGAACACACAGGAACAAATAAACATTTGTAAAAATAAGGCTTTCCATTGCTCATGCCTAAAATGGTAAGTATATTTTGTAGAATGGCAGTGTGTGCGCTATAAACAGGTTTGCCATCTGAACCTGCGTTGTGAAGTTGTGAATGCTTTCTATTTGAGTTTGCAGTGTTGCCTGTCCCATTCGCCCACAAAAAAAGTGTATCAGAAAATTTCTGTCTCTGAATTAATCATTTCTGACTTGTTTTTTAAAGATAAAATTGACACATAGCCATTTTTGACACAATGATTTTTTTAAGGTCTCTTGTGAGTCTCCACATAGTGTCAGGCTACTGAAATAAACATTATCAGATCCCTTGGGATTGATTTTGATATAGTTACTAGAATGCTGCTTCTGAAAGTCACAGGTATGGGTCTTTATATAAAATATTTTTTAGATTCTTTCAATTTCGGGACACTGGGGTGGCTCAGCAGTTTAGCGCCTGCCTTCGGCCCAGGACATGATCCCAGAGTTCCGGGATCGAGTCCCACATCGGGCTCCTGGCCTGGGGCCTGCTTCTCCCTCTGCCTGTGTCTCTGCCTCTCTCTCTCTCTCTCTCTGTCTCTCTCTCTCTCTCTCTGTCTCTGTCTCTCATGAATGAATAAATAAAATCATTAAAAAAAAAAATCTTTCAACTTCTTCAAAATCATCCCTTAGTTAAGAATATGCTTTTTCTTCTCTTCCTTGCCTTGAGGTTATCTCAGATGAACGTATTATCCTTGAATTTGTTAAGAGAATTGAATATCCCTCTAAATATTCTGAGTCCTACAGCTTGGCTCTTCCCCAGCCAATTAATTCAGTGGATCTCTGAAGTTACTAAACAGTAATAATACTTGTTAACTTTCTTTTCATTTCAGTATGTCCTATGTGTTTTAAAGATAACAGAAAACCAGATTATGGGAATTTCCCACAAATCCAGACAAACAGTTATATTACATTTATGTATATGGCTTTTTCTTTTTTTGCCAGAGAAAGTAGCTATACTGTATAGTTCAACCTCCCAAACAACCTGGGAATTTTTTAAAAACTGATCCTTTAAGGATCAGTATGTCCTTACTCTTTGATCTTGAATATTTTATTTCCTCCCAAATATTTACTGTGTAAGCATCATTATATAAAACATAAGAATATATTTAAAGGAAGAAAAGTTAGAGTTCCATTGCCTTAGATGGCTGCTAATTTCATTTTACAGTTTCTTCCCAGACTGTTTTGTATATTCCAACATAGTTGTCATCTTCGTGCAGATAAGATTTTATACTTGATTTTTCACTTTCCTTCTTTTTTATGTGACTGCATATAATCTTGATGATTCTTTTTTATTCAAATGTGTCATGCCTCACTTAGTGAAAGTCCCTTTGCTTACAGAGTCATTGCTCTAAGATTAGCCATTGAGATTGATTCAGTTTTTCCTCATTATAAATAGTACTCCAATCAATGGAGGACTTTCTTTTGCTTCTGAATGAGGATTAATTCCTAAGAATGGCTATAAATACTTTTATTGCCCCTTAATATAAGCATTATGAAAGTGATTTAAGAAAAAACACACACCAATTGATACTACGACCAACTGAGTGGTTACCAATTTCACTAGCACCTTTCTAGATTAGGATTTTATAAATTTTTAATTGCTGTTTTAATAGCTGTAAAATGGTAGCGTCTTGTTTAATTTTGCATTCTTTGATTTACTAGTAGGACTGCATGTATTTCCAAATGGCATTTAGTTACTGGTTGTCTTTACTCTTGTGTTGATTGTGTGTTAAGACCATGTCATGCTTAACTTCTCTGTGCCTCACAGTGTTTCTTTGTAAAATGAGGTCCTATTCAGGTATATGGTAGAAAGTTTATTTTACAGTGTAAAGAAATCATAATTTAAGAAACCAATGTAATAACTCTTGAGACCGATGTAGCCTGGAATCAAGACAAGTTTTACTGTGCTGTACAGTCCAGATGTTTGCAAAGGAAGTAATGCTGCGATCTCTATTCTGTTCAGTCTCCATTAAGCTGTCAAAAATATATGATGATCTCTCCTCTTAATCTTTGCAGAATTGTATCAAGTCCCAGTCATTGGTGTGACAGTGCCCATCATGTGGTTCTACCTACTGATGAATGTCATCACTCAGTATCCTTTGCAGTCCTCTGCCATATGGTCTGCTCTGTGTTACTTTGACATAGGAATGTTTATTCTTCTAATGGTGCCATGATAGGAGTTTCATTTCTGCCTTGTTCTCTTCTGGACTACCGGAGACAGAGGTGCCCATCCAGTTAGTGCCTTCGTGGAGGGCCAAATGTTAGTGGTGCAGTAGGCCAGGAAGTCACTGGCCACCATAAGGAACTTGCTCTGGGTGGAGGGGTAGAAATCACTGGATAATTAAGTATTAATAGATGACATGAATGCTCTGTGATTTCAGCTGGGGTTTTTCAGTAGCCCAGGATACGTCATAAGGCACCACAAAATTCTGCAAGAAATTTCAAACTAATTAAAACCTAATTTTTTTAATGAAGGTTCTTTTGAACAGCCTTGAGTACGTTATAAAAGTCATTAAGGCTTTGAAACAATGAAACAGGTTGAGATTGGTCTCATTCCTCTGACATCACCTAATAGATTTGCCCACAGAGCTCCTTTTTGGATGAGTAGGTGAGGCCCGGGTCCTATAAGGTGGGTTTGCTGACCTGTATTGAAAGTGTTTCCCACCGTCCTTCACTATCGGGGAGGGGACCCTCACTGTACACGGTGTGAAGAATTCAGAACAAGAATGGTGGGAGGTCTGCAGGCAGTTTCAAGTTAGGATCCACACACGAATGGTAGGACGTTCACCTGCTGGATGTTCTGCTAAGGAAGAACCTCAGAGTAGCCATAACGCACCCCCATGTTTTCTGGTTCTTATAATATGAACATTTAAACCAAGAGCGATGCCAGAATGTTCTCTCGATAGTCTACAGAAAACCACCTTAACCCCACTACCCCAGGTATGTGTGCATCCGGGGCGTCTTCATTCTCACCACAGAATGCGCCTCCCTTACTGTCACCCTTGTTGTGACTCTCCGCAAGTTTGTCAGCCTCATCTTTTCCATCTTGTACTTCCAGAACCCTTTCACTGTGTGGCACTGGCTGGGTACCTTGTTTGTCTTCATTGGGACCCTCATGTACACAGAAGTGTGGAACAACCTAGGGACCACCAAAAGCCAGCTGCAGAAGGAGGACAAGAAAAACTGAGGTCTGCCTGGAGCAGAGAGACCAGTATGCTAATGTGCCAGGGCTGGTGAAGGTCTGGCCGCCATTTCACTTTTGTTAATGCTGAAGTATTGAACCAGCCATGTTCCAGAGAATCCTCAGAAGGAGGGACTTCTCAGATTTTTTTAAGGCTGCACAGGCCAACGTTTGCAGACTCCAAATGGAAACCCCTCAACCACGAAATAGAAACAAGAATAGTTCTCTACTGTTGAACAGCCAGTCTGTTACTTGTTTTGTTTACCAAAATATTTAGTACCGTTACTTGTTTATTGAATTCTCAGTCCCCACAGCTACTAGTTTTCTATCCGTGGTCTCAGACAGGTTTCTCTCTTGTTGACATTCTGACGATTCTCTGCCATACGGTCATTCTCATCCCGTGCCCACCACCCTTTTTCTTGTCACTCTTCCCCTCCCCTACCACCTCTGCAGCACTGGAGCCAGTCAGATGCTCCAGGCATCATCACCAGGAAGCAACTATGAGGGGCCCTGTGACATTGGGACTGGAAAGGAAGCGGCTGTCTGTGTGAGCTGAGCCCTGGTGACACTGGAGCAAGACTGGTGGTCGTCCTTTCCCACATCTTGCTTCCCTCCCCGCACCCCATGTGCAAGTCTTTTTGCTTACTGTGCTTAGACCATCAGCATATCTGTATGGCACAGAGTTAATAAGAAAGAAAGGCTGTGTATGAATCAGGCAGGACGTTTTTCCCCCTCAGTCTTCTATACAAAGCCCTTTAGCCCACAGTTGAAATGGTAATTCCAGGATGGCTGGGAGCAGCTGGCCCTCGTCGGCACCCAGGGCACCACAGCTCCCCTCTGGGCCCAGCCAGGCCCTCACGGGGCTGGTTCCAAGTGGGTGCATTCAGTGTTTGAAAGGCTTCTTAACCAGAGAGATTGAGTGCTGCCTGTCAGTATGAGAGCTTCGTGGCCAGTCAGGCTAAGGAGTAGAGACTCTCATATACGGTGGATGTGGGTGTGGTGTATCAATCAGGTCCAGTCACAACTAAAATGAAAAGTTGTGTGTTTTCGTTTTGTTGTTTTTTTTTTTTTTTTTTTTCCTATAAGGTATCTTAGTGTTCTTGATGGGTATTTACAGGTGGTTGGGAAGTCATTTGTTTTACTCTGTGAGGAAGCGTGATGCCCCTTTAGGCTGATCATTTCAGAGGTGTGGTTTTCTTCCTGGGATAATTTTGAGAAAGAGGAACAGTGTCAATATGGTGTATGTAGGTACGTGTGTTTGTGTGTGTGCACGCACGTTTATGCGTTTGTGTAGTTTCTGCGATAATATTAGAGGAGGAAATAGCATGAGAGTCTATTCTTTTATTTCCTCATTCTTCACTCAGCCCCGAACCTTCATTAAACTTGCACAAGTCCGTGCTCTTCTCTCTTTTTCACATGCGAAAAAAGCCTTCCTTCCCCCCGCCCCTTTGGATATAGATTGTATTCTTAAATTGTGATGCGGCTCTCGAGATCTCCTTGGCTCACTCTGTGGTATGGCCTGTTTTCCTCTTCTGCCTGCAGCTGTTCCCTGATGGGGTCTGAGATAAGTGTCCAAGAACCATTGGGTCACTCAGGGAAAGAACTTAAGCTGCCTCATTGTTTGTTCCATAAAATGTAGATACTGTTTCTCCATCTAAGTCACAGGGTTTTCAGACAGTGTTGTTCTGGACATGGACAAATTTCTAGTGCTGATAATTGGTCTGTCCTAAAAAATGCCAAATTTGGTATGAACCCATTCATGGAATCAAAAGGTATTTTCTTTGGAATATGTAGAGTTCCTCTGACTGATGGTGCTATAATAAGCATGAATTAAATATCCTCTTAAAAACAAAATAAAACTACTTTGTAAAAATCACTTGATAGAAGAACCCGTCCCTAGGGACTATTAGATTTCTGTGTATCTGGAGTCTTCGCAGGCTGGAGCCTTACATAACTTAGTGTCCTCCTTTTTATGTTGATGAACATTTTTAGTAACTGAGATGTGTTAATGTACACAGGCATTTAACTGTGTCTATTAGGTTTTAGATTCTGGATTTAGAAAGTACCTATTCCTCTCAGGCTGAATACTGCTGCTGGTTTTATTAATAAGAGATTACATATGGACAGATTATGGCATTTACACTAAGAAATATAAGAACAGAATGTCTGAAATGCCTTATGAGTTGATTTTCTCTCTAGTGGCCAGATGTAAGAAAATATGTCTAATGGACACTAATACTTTCATTAGCAACTTCTTTTTTTGACAGTTTTTTCCATAGGATAACTGATTTTTCAATCAAGGTTGAGATTAATTTCAACTTGTATTAAAGAGGCAAATAAACCATTTTGAAGAGGACCAGACCCATGCAGCTGGAGGAGAAATGTCTATTAAAATGCTTCTCCTCTTTCTCTGGGTCGACTATGTAATAACTTTGTACCCCAGAGATAGTTTGCAAAAGGGATTGATGTTTAAGACATCCAAAACTCTGCCCTTAGACTGAAGATCATAGCAGATGACACTAGCCAGAAACTGTCCTGTGTGTGTGTACATGTGTACACATATCTGTGCACCCACTTAACAGCTTGACCAGCACCATAAAGTAACAGGAGAAGATGGTGGATATTTGAATTATATTAATGTAATACCTAGTTAGCTTTTACCACAATTCTGTCCTCACATTATGTTCTCTTTTGTTTTTGTATTGCTTTATCTTTTATCCCTTTTATTTTCCTTTTCATCTAAACCAATCAGTAACGTACTTGGTAAGTGTCTGTCGAGCTTTAGACACAATCTAGTTTTTCCCCCCTTCTTCCTTTCCAGTTACCCAACCGTATTCTTCTGAGAAGATTACCTGACATTTTTAAAGGATTCTAATAACTTGGGGTCATTTCGCAAGCAGCTTTCCTCTTTCCTGCCCTATTTTGTTTTCCTCCTGAGCCCCACCTCCATTGTCCTCACTGCAGTCTCTGTTCATCTGTGCACTTCTCCACTGAAAACTTGCATAGTTCTCTGTGCCTGTCATCTTGCATCTGTTTATGCCTCTATTCTCTGGGGCCTCTCGGCTGTTTTTGTGGATTTTTACAAGGTATTTTGTTAGACATTGTTACAGGCACTGATACTTGGAGTGCGAGAAGATGTGGCCCATATGTGAATATATGTATAGATAAGTATAAACATGAGGGTTAATGTAAAAATGTTTATTTTGTTACCTGAAACTGGAACTGAGAATCTTAACCACCATGCCCTTCTATATTTGGAAAATAATGTTCTTGTTTGCTCTTTTCACCCCATGTTGAGCTCACTTTGTTCAACAGTGCCAAATGCCTATGGAGAAGGGAGGTGGAAAACCTCAGGAATTATTCAGAGCCAGTGAATTAGCTGTGGGCTGGGAGATGTGCTCATGGGTGGACCACTTGGCATGTTAGAGTGAAGGAGAGGAAGAAATTTTCCTCTGTTCAAGATTCTTCCAGTTGGACTACAAATTAAAATTTACATGAGACAGATTAACAGGAGAAAAAAAAAATATCGAAGTTTGAGTTTGCGCACCCAAAACCTAAACAAAGGACTAGAGCAGGCATTTTTAAAATCTACATTTTAGACAATAAATCTGTTAGGAATTGACAGGATAAAGAAGATGGATGTTTGGGAGTTTTAGTAAGGAATTCAGGCTGTAGTAATAGATTAGTAAAAATATAGCCAGATTTGTTTCTGTAGCTTTCTTGGCTTTAAATAAAGACATCTTTTTAGTTCTTAGTGCAGGGGGAGCATACCTTTCAAATGGGAGTTTTGTTTTCTGTTCTTAGAAGGACAGAGGATACTCATATCCTTGTATCTGCTGCTTCCCACATAGCTTCAATTCAAAATACCGAGTATGCCACTGTGGTACATTATGGGTAGTCTGCTCTTGGCTCCTGCAGTTCCCTCCTCTGCAAGAAGTTTCACACATTAAAAGTTGATAGATTTTTCCATTTCAATGAACCTGCTGGGTTCTGACAATAGCTATGTCAGTTTCGTTAAACTCATTATAGGAGGTGGCTATGTGTTCTCAAAGTTATTAGTCCATTGATTCAAATCAGGTAATGAGTAAGAGAGAGGCGTTTCTGATGGTAGCCAGCCAAGTGGATTTCTGGATAGCAGGCAGTGGCAATCTGATGTATTTTCTTGGTTTGTAATTTTGAGTTTTTGTGGTGAACTTTTTGAGTAGCCCATAGAGCAAAAGGCATGGAGATTGTCTACATATGAGCTGTTCTGATTTCTCCGAAGTTGTTTATGTGTAGTTTGCAGGGCTTCAAGAAAAAGGACAGCTTTTTTAATCAAGTTATTCCAAGTAAAAAAAGATTGGGGGGGGGGGGTGTTCTTTGAGGAAGTTGTAGCCAGACACTGGAGAAAACAAGAAATCAAGATCTTGTCCAGTTCATAATGAAATGTATGAGAATATAGTATTCACAAAGGGTATGTTACTGAAATAGTTTTTCTCCTTATAATCACACTAACTTTTACCAAAGATAGCCCAATTAAGACTAATCGGTTTGCAAAATAAGTCTAGTGTTTAAAAATTTGACCTGATTATTTACATGAGTGCAGTAAGAATAGTAAGTGATCCTATAGGCCCTTTTTAAAGGACTTTCTAGACTGAACTTTTAACAGCCTCTCAAGGTGAGAAGCCAAACAAAAAATACTTGCTCAGACTTCCCCTGTAACAGCTGTAGGTTTGGTTAATTCTTTCTCAAGCCCCAAAAGTGTCCCGAAGTTCTTGGACCTGCCAGGAAATGATCCTCCCTCTTCACCTGGTAAATCTGCTGGGAACCCTGTAAGCAAGGTATCAGGCTGTTTTTCCAGGGGGCACAGGGGGCTTTATTGGCTCTGTATAGTCAACCTTATTTCCTTAAGCTGTCTGGTGGTATCTGAGTTTGTGCCGGTCTCCCTCAAATATGACATTCTAGTCAAAGCCTTGGTAATATAATCAGTGTTTCCAGTTGTGTCCTATTACTCTTATTGAACTTATGCAAATGAGTATATTATGAAAATATAAGAATATTGAAGGGATTAGGTAGAGAAGATAAATGTTTTGTTCACAAAGATATGTTTTATCAAATTGCTGTAAGTTATAGTTATCTTAAGAAAAAATTTCTTTAAAGCTGGAAAAAAATCAGTGTTTAACAAAAAGTCATAAAAATTACAATCATCCTCAATTCATTCAGTTCCATGTTATTCTTACTTTGCTTAAATCTAATTCTTTCATTAGTTCTGGAAATTCTTACTGAGTTCAGTTGCGTGATCTTAATTATTATCAGAGACACGTGTACTCAGATTTCTTTCCACGAATCTCAATGCAGACAAAACATTTGCAGGAGGATTTGTAAAAGCATCTAACTGTCTGGAAACAACAAAAGACAAAAGTGGGCATGGTTAAAAATCTGATTAGAGTTCATGACCATGCACTTGACAAGGAAATTTGGTTATTTCTGTGACACAGCACTTTAAGATAACATACTAGGACATACCTGATTTCTAAGAGTTTCATAGAGTTCTTAATACCACTTCTACATAAATATAATCTGAGAGGGTTTCAGTATCAGTTGACAGAGCTTCCCATGTAACTTAAGCCTAACTAGCGTAATCTTTTTATAAGGAGACCAAATATTTTGAAAATTTCTATTAGATTGTGATGAAAGGACTTTTTAGAATTTGATTTTGGAAAGTTTGTCAATAAATATCAAAAGGCTTGAACATTTTATTAAATAGGATTCCTAATCATTATGAAATATTTAACCAAAGTGATAATAAGATATTAAAGGCAAATACCAAAGGTTACATAATTGTGAGCACAACTTGGCTCTTTTAATATTGAAGACTCAGTTTTCCTGAATGATCAAAGATCTGATGAAGACATAGAATCTTAGATTATTGGTTTGCTTTTCATAAGTTATAAACAAAATTATGTAATATTAAAACTTAAATTCTGATCTTAGGCATTACTGACCATATATTAAATTTTTTTCTATAAACCTACAACTTTCTTTTTTACATTCATTCAGGTCTTGTTCTAAGTTTTCCCTCAAAATGTCTTTCTAGTCTTCATACCTTTCTTTTATTGAAAACATTTTCTTATGTACAGAGTTGTTTCCTTTATTTGGGGGTAGCTTTAACCCATTTGATTTGAATTCTTAACACTTAAAAACTTCACTTACAGGATAGTTAAGTTTTAACTTTAGCATTGGTTTATCTTAACACTGGGTGGCTCAGTGGCTGAGTATCTGCCTTTGGCTCAGATCGTGATCCCAGAGTCCTGGGTTCAAGTCCCACATCAGGCTCCTGCAAGGAACCTGCTTCTCCCTCTGCCCATGTCTCTGCCTCTCTCTCTCTGTGGGTCTTTCATGAATGAATAAATAAAATCTTAAAAAAAAAAAAAACTTCACTTACTATATAGCTTTCACTAGAAATTGAAGTTTGTGAAGTAGAATCTTGATCTTACTTCTCTCTGGACACAGTGAATCTATAGCTATATAGATATATATACTATATCTATAGTTCCTCCTTAAGAACTGAGGGCTGACTGGACAACTTCTGCACAACAGAGAATGGAGGGACCACGTACAGAATGGTGAGAGAGAGATGGTGACGACTGGGAACCCCGACACTATAAACTGCAATGGGGAGGGATAGAATTGGACTGTGAGCCGATTTATCTACCCTGGGATGCAGATAATATCTAGTTGCTGTTTTAAGCCATGGCTTTTTAAAGAAATAGCTCTCTACCAAGCGGTAGGGGTCCTGCTAGAACATTCTCTGGGGTCAGAGAGGCTGCAACATGCCACTGTTTACACTCTTCCTCCACCTTGATGGTAATGCAGATACAGATATGATCCTGGCTGGCCTGCTGTATCAGCAAGGTGACACAGGGGCAAACCATCCTGGGATGCTCCAGATGACTTGCCTGGGCACCCCCTACACATATTGCTGTGGGACTTTCTGCACAGGCCTCCTGTGGCTTCAGCTGTCCTGCAAGAGTGCTTTCTGCAGAGCCCTGGGATTCCCAGTTTACCCACCTGCTACAGCTCCAGTCAGCACAAACAGCTAGGCACACAGTCCATACCAGATATCCTTACACAAGACAATTTCTTCAAGTTTAGAAAGGAAGTCGCTGTCCCATCTACTTTATAGAAATAAACACAAACTAAATGAACATGCTCTAAACAAAAGCACAAAACTTCAGAAAAAGAACTAAATAAAATCTACCCAATAAACAGTTCAAAGAAATGATTAGAAAAATGCTTATTAGAATAGACACAAGAGTAGATGAACTCAGAACTTCAACAAAGAGAAAATACAAAAAAGCAGCCATCAGAGTGGAAGAATACAATAACATGAAAAATACACTAGAATCAACAGCAAATTAGAGGTTGCAGAAGAGTGGATCAGTGATCTGAAAGACCAGCTAATGGAAAGCACCCAACGTGAAGAGGGAAAAAAAAATTAATGAGGATAGCTTAAGGGATCTTTGGGACAAAGATCAGGCTTACTGACATTTACATTAGAGAGTTCCCAGAAGGGGATGGGGGGGGAGGGCAGAAAACTTACCTAACCTGGGGAAGGAAACAAATATCCAAGTCCAGGAGGCCTAGAGAGCCACAAACAAGATGAACCAAAGGAGGTCCACAACAAGATACATAATTAAAATGTCAAAGATTAAAGATAGAGAATCTTAAAAGGAACCAGTAAGAAGCAACTAGTTGTGTATGAAGAAACTCCCATAAAGCTGTTTTTTCAGCAGAAATTGTGCAAGCCAGAAAGGAGAGACATGACACATTCGAAGTGCTCAAAAGAAAAAAACCTATAACTAAGAGTACTCTACCCAGCAAGACTGTCATTCAGGATTGAAGGAGAGAGAAAGAATTTCCCAAACCAAAGGTAAAGGAGTTTATCACCACTACACTGGCCTTATAAGAAATGTTAAAGGGAATTCTTTACGTGGAAAAGAAAAGATCATAATTAGAAGAAAATTAGGAAAAAAAATTTCACAAGTAAAAGCAAATATACAGTAAAAATAGTGTATCAATCACAAAGCTGAGATGAAGATTAAAAGACAAAAGTAGTAAAAGCAGTTTTATCTGATAGTTACATTGTATTTAAGTAGGGACTCACAAAATGAAAAGATACAAAATATATATACATAAAATATGGAGGGAGTGTAAAACTGAAGTTCTTTATGTGGACTTTTTTTTAAGATTTCTATTTATTTATTCATGAGAGACACAGAGGGAGAGAGAGAGACACAGGCAGAAGGGAAAGCAGGCTCCATGCAGGGAAGCCTGATGTGGGACTCGATCCCGGGTCTCCAGGATCACTCCCTGAGCCAAAGAAGGACACTCAACCGCTGAGCGACTTAAGCAACAATCAACAATACAGACTGTGTACTTAGGATGTTATATATGAGCCTCATAGTAACCACAAACCAGAAATCTATAATAGATATGCAAAAAAATAAAAAAGGAAGCCAAGTATAACACTAAAGAAAGTCATCAATTATAAGAACTACAAAATGGCACTAAGTACATATTGTTAGCAATTACCTTAAACTCTCCAATCAAGACATATAGGATTCTCTCAAATAAATGAATAAAATCTTTTAAAAAATAGATAAAAAATAGATGATAGATAGATAGATAGATAGATAGATAGATAGATAGATAGATAGATAAAAGAGGGTATCTGAGTAGCTCAGTCTATTAAGCATCTGCCTTCAGTTCAGGTCATGGTCTTGGAGTCCTGGAATCAATCCTGCATCAGGCTCTGTACTCAGCAGAGTCCGCTTGTCACTCTCCTTCCTCTCTGCTCCTCCCTCTACTTGTGTTCTCTTTCTCAAATGAATAAAATCTTTTTAAAAAAAAAAGACATAGGGTGACAGAATGAATAAAAGGGCCAGATCCATCTGTATGTTGCTTATAAGAGACATACTTCAGACTATTTACAGAGTAAAGTGAAGGGGGTAGATAGATCATCCAGACAGGAAATAAGGAAACCGTGGGCTTAAATGACCCACTAGACCAGATGGACTTTATACATACATACAGAACATTCCATCTAGAAACAACAGAATACACCTTTTTAAGTACACATAAAACATTCTCCAGAATGGATCACATGTTAGGCCACCAAACAAGTCTCAATAAATTTAAGGAGATTGAAATCCTATCAAGCGTCTTTTCTGACCACAACGGTATGAAACTAGAAATTACAAGGATGGAAAAAACAAGCACATGGAACCTAAACATGTTACTAACCAGTGGGCCAATGAATAAATAAAAAAATGAAATGAAAAAATGGAGACAAATGAAAATGAAAACATAACAGTCCAAAATCTTTGGGACACAATAAAACACTTCTAAGAGGGAAATGTATAGCATTAGAGGCCTACCTCAAGAAACAAAAATTTCAAATAATCTAACAACATATAAAGGAATTAGAAAAAGAATATTAACAAAGCCCAAAGTTAGTAGAATGAAGGAAATAATAAACGAGTGGAAATAAGTGAAACAGTAAAAATAATAAAAAAGATCAAGGAAACCAAGAGCTGGTTCTTTGAAAAGCTAAACATAATTGATAAGCAAAAAAAGGACTGAAATTAAAATCAAAAGAAGTAACAACTGACATCACAACATTACAAAGGATTATAAGAGGGTACAAAAAATATATGCCAACAAATTGGGCAATCTGTATAAATTCCTAGATGTATACAATCTTCCAAAAAATGAATCAGGAAGAAATAAAAAAATCTGAACAGGCCAGTTACTGGTAGTGAAACTGAATGAGTAATTAAAAAAATCCTCAAAAGCCTGCTTCTCCCTCTGCCTCCCTATGTGTCTCTCATGAATAAATAAATTAAATCTTAAAAAAGTCTAGGAACTGATGTCTTAACAGATGAATTCTGTCAAACATTTAAAGAAGAGTTAAGAGACCTGGGTGGCTCAGTCATTTAAGCTCCAGTCGTTGGTTTCCACTTAAGTCATGATCTTGGGGTCCTCGGGTCAAGCCCTGCATCAGGCTCTCTGCTCAGCAGGGAGTCTGCTTCTCTCCCTCTCACACTGCCTCACTGCCACTTGCATACTCTATAAAATAAACAAATCCTAAAAATAAGTAAATAGGGGTTAATCTTGTTTTGTAAAACTATTCTTAAAAATAGGAAGGAAATCTTA